AGTAGAATAAGACATGAAAATNGATAACGCCCCCTTGTGGGCGCTGCAGGCTTAAAGGGGGGCGGTAAGAGACCCAGAAAAAAAAATCGGGACGTTGTGTAGTGGCTTGGGAGGCGTCATTTACTAAGAGGACTCTTAGACACCGACTGAACACTCGACACTCGACTACAAATGGGGGCGCTAAAAAGAATTTATTCTCAACTAGCGGCCGCCCGCGACTTCGTACGCGTGGACCCCGTTTTACCCTTAGGGGTGAAGTTTCGAGTTTTTTAGGGTTTACCCGGAAATTATTCAAACTTTTCTCGCTGTAAAAACCATTCTTGGACTTCAACAAACATTTAAAAAAAAGAATTGGTAAAATTGGTCCAGGCGTTGTTGAGTTATGCGCTCACCAACACATTTTGCGATTCATTTTTATATTATAGAAGTGGGCAGTAGACAAAATAAGTTTGGGAACCGCTGCGTTAGATTCTTCAATTCTGTGACGTTGAACATGTCTCGTGTTGCAGACATGGAGTTCCTGGAGGTGCTGACGGAGGGCCTGGAGAAGGTGCTGATGGTGCGCGGCGGCGGGCGCGAGGTCATCACCATCTACTCGTGAATCGCGCGCCTCATTGTGATTCTACTTACTATTAGTGCTCTACTTTGAACTGTTGCGTCTCGTTAATCATTTTAATGTTATCGCATAATCGCTCTCGAAGACTGCCGAGACGAACGTTACGTACCGGCGTTCAAAAATGTATTATGACGTATATATTATGTATTTTCTTACAATTTATTGACGTTCGTTTGTCTTGTAAACGTTAGTTAGCTTAGTTCTAAATGTTTTGTTGAATTTGCTGTTTAGAGTGGAGTTGTTTTGGAATTTATTCACTGTTGTATAGGTAGAGGTGTGGATGAAAACGAGTGTGAGTCTTAACGAGGAGCCTTAAATCGAAGGTAGTTTTAAGTTTGTTTTGTTATACTAGTGTAGAGACTACGCTATAACATAATTTAGACACATAAGAGGTCTCTTGATTAATGCCATATTGTTTTCCTTTCTGAAAAATGTAGAGTGCCTCGAGCATATAGTTTTCTTATTTTTTATATGATTTCTTTTTCTATCAATGTTTAAAAGAAACGTAGATACTTTGTAAGCGTATACATTTACTTAAGAGGGAAACCATGAAGATTTTTATCTACTTATATGAAATATATTTTGTAAATAATTATTCTGTTCTAAGATTTTTACATCTGCTCAACTTAAAACTTGCCGTGGGACTGAAGAGTGAATATTGCTATTCATATTTCTGGACGATTTGAAGATGAGTGATATAAAACGTAAAGCAATCTTAAATCTAGTCATATTCGACACTAGTTGCCTTCAATGAATGATTAGTTTTTACATGAACAAAACCTTTGTATCCCTCCCCTAAATATCAATGCATACTAGGTTATCGCTTAACCTGCCTACAATCATTTCGTGAATATCCTCAAGGTTTTATGGTGAGTAGATACCAACGCTTATGTCAACGCTAGATATTTTTAAATACCTTTTACTTTTAAAAATATCCTAGTCATTGAGAAAGCATATTAATAGCAAATGCTAGTTTGATAAAAAAAAACATTTTGAAAATACTCTAGCGATAAAGCAATGAAGCATTTTTTCGCCCGGCTAGTTATAATTCCTACAAGGTTAGATTAATGCCGTTGAATTTAATCCTTAACTTGTCCCATTATTACCTTTATCTAATGTTTAACTTGTTACGCACACTCGCGTAGATAGATGATGTCTTATTGTGATCGTTTGTGTGCGTTCTCGTCCTTAACCTGGACAGTAAGTTGTACAATACTTGCGTTTGCATGTAAATCTAAAATTTTGTAGTGGACAAGAGCTTTTACACGCGTCCATTAGGGGCGCTAATCATGTTTCCACACAAAAATTAAATTTACACAAACGTTATTTCTTAAGGACATACATTACCTACTTACTTATGTATAACATTATAACTTTGTTCGGAGTATAGGACTTCTACTTATGTTTTGAAACTGAATGATTGTTTATGATCAAAATGTTTACCGAACGTAAGTTGTGAACGAATGTGGACAGCAAACATTGTGTCGCTCTAAAACGGTGATATTAATTTACAATATGATGAACGACTTCGTCAAAATATTGTAACAGAGTTCGGTTAGACTTTTGATGATACAATAATTGAGTCGAGACGGGAAATTTTACTTAAGTAATAAATGACACCAAAGGCAATGTAGTTAGTTATAAGTATCATTACAAATATTACAGAGTGTAAATTGTTAGATCGTCTCGCAAAAACTCGTCAATTTTCATTTTCACACATTGTCCTCTCTGAGATATGAAAATCTGTGTCCAGTTTACATTGCGTTTCACTTCGTCGTGTGAAACGCCAATTAACACTTGGGCCAGACTTTCATTTCTAGAAAGGACGGTAAGTCTAGTATAAACTTATTTCTAAAGAGTGTTAGGTAACTGCCAAATAGGAATCGGTGTTGTAAAATATCCTAGTCCATAAGTGAGGTACCTAATTCTAATTAATTTCATCGTTCAAAATTCTTGTAATTAGATCAGAATCCAAAATATTCGCTGTAAGAGAAGTCTAGTGCATGATATCACTTTTACGATTACTAGGTAGAGAACATAGACCATAGGAAACATTTTAACTCAAATAGGGGAATGAGATAGGTATGTCGCAATTACTTACATCGTCGTATAATAATATGGAAGAGGACAATACTCGCTGCGCGGGGCCCGGCGCCCGCGCAGCCGCGGCGGCCGTCGGCGGCGCGAGGTTCAACACCCTGTACTTTAAGAGTCTTAGTATTACATAGATTATAGATTCGAAACTTTCATCTATTCTTCATGTTCAGAAACGAGTGGTCGCTATAAATTAACTTCTATGATATGTTGAAAAGGAAAACAACATAAAATTTTACTATTATGCCTACAAATAAGAGAATTTCACTTAATAAAATTAAGTATAAATAAATTATTCTAAATTATATTAATTGATAAATCAATACTTAACGGTTGTTTAAGTTTATTGATGTGTTCTTTATCACTTAGTGATACTTCATGGAATAATTGAAATAGTGATCACATATCTATCTTCCTTTCCACATAGAACTATTTCTACAAAACTGTTTATGCCTATTAATAGGTAATAGACGATAAATTTTATTTAAATAAAAAATATTAAATTATATTACTACAATTCATATAAAAATATAATAATATTTACAAGTATTCTAAACTACTTACTATGCCTAGACTATCTGAAATATTAACAATAATGACTCTATATTTTATGAATTCTGAAATTCAAATATCAACCTACCATAAGGCAATCAACTGAAAACATACTTAGTGATCACCGGAAGAAACTTCGTCAAAAGCAACATCTATAAACCTACAGTCTAACAACAACCTTAGATCATGAAGATTTTATGTGTACCTACCTATTCTTCATTATGTAGTTTCACTTTATTTTCATTGAGTCAATCCTTGCCTTGCCTTTCCTAGGTGCGTTGGGACCTATCGAATTTGATATTTTACCTGTCTTGTGATTATCCTACTTACTTCTTTAAATATTTTTAAGTTGAAGTCGTAAAACATCGAATTGATTGATTCTAGGAATATGTAATTGTTGTTGGCCTGTAGTTAGTACTGTTAAAACATTAATTACGGGAATTATTAAACGGACCTGCTGATCTTGTAACTCTTCAATAATTACATAATTATGTGCCAAACTTATTTCATCGACTGGTGTAAAGTGAATGATTATGTTGACAAGATACGCGTGAGGTATTCTACTGGGGTAGAAAAACTACGGACTCAACTTTCAATGAACTATCGATAGTGTTTATTAAATAATAATATACCTACCTGTCATAATGTAGCTTTCGAGATTACATTGTGTGTTAGAAATGTCACATTAAAATAACGTAAGTTGTAAATCAAAACAAATGCACATACATAGTTACCTGTTTCGGATAGATTTAAAGTCGTGTTCGTAATTTCAATCGTACATTTAGCCTTATTCGAAGTCAGTAAATTATGTACATACTTATTTACAGTCTTACACATAGTTTGGGCATTATTAAGTTATCCCAGTCTGCCCTGTTCAATGATCCATCGCCTCGTACGTATTAAAATTTGATAAGTGGCCAAACTATGGAGTTGTGACTGTGTCTAACTCTTGTCGAGTGTCAACTTATTGATGTTCTATTACGATTAGACCTTAGGCTGTGAGTCAGCGTAACACATTCTTAACAATTTAATATTCAGGCTAGAGTTGCTGTGATACACCATTATGGCTATAAAATTAAGTACCTAGTCGTTTCTGACTATGGATATTCTTTGAAAACAACGTCGATTAAAGCCATATTCTATCTGTGATTTCACTGATGACTAGATGCACCTTCGCCCCTAACAATGAGCATTTGAAAGACATTTAAGATTTTTGGGTGAATCTATGTCTTTTACATTAAATGAGAATCACGGTCTTTCGTCCTTTGTAATCTATACCAATTGTATTGATTAGGGCGATTTAGAATTCTTCTATCAAGGGCGAGACATAAATGTCTATGATGCCCATAACACCGAGGCTATCTAAGTACCGAAGCGTGCTAGTTGCCTAATTAATAAAAATTTGATCTGGAACGTTTTATTAGAAAAATATTTCGAACTGTAAAAGTTATATAAGAAATTATTAAAATATTCAAATAATACATCTAGTGAATTAGCCAGTGAGTAAATTTAAGAGAAAGATGTTATGAGTATAATGAAATAAATGAATGATAAAAATAAAAATTTATTTTTATTTCTTATCCCAATATTACAAATAACACTTTACCATACTATTATGTAATTATTAAACATACATACCTACTTACCTAACAATCAAACATCTGTATCACTTTTTTTGTATTAACTTGGAAGACTAGAAAAATATACTATGTACATACATTTATAGTATATTTTAAAAATATACATATAACACATCCTATCAATAATATTCTATGTTACATATCATACTTAATGCTATGATTATAATGTATAATTAGAAATTTAGATTTTAGAGATGGTGCTGTACACAAGCAGGTGTTTCTTTATAATATTTAACTTAAATGTAGTTAGGTAAGATTTTTTTTTAATAATTATGGATTTGTAATAAATCCATTCTACATATTAGTGAATCTTTTAGTTATTTTAGGATAATTAAATATATTAACATAATAAAATTAAATAATATTATGAATACCACTATTATGACTTATGAAATCATTCATTTAAAAGGATTCTTCTGCATTATCAATGCACTCCATCAGATATTTTTGTAAATTGTTGTTATTGTAAGATGTATAATATTGACTAATGGTTGAATATTTCACACTTACAACTTTTAGACCTAATATTCTCAAATGCTTCTTTCTCATAATTTGAGGCCCAACCAATTGTTCATTATCTGAGCAGTAATGGTCAGGCAAATGAATCAATATTGCTATGTTTTCATTCCTAGATGTCTGTCTATTCCAGTTAACAGTAGTATCCAGCCCAGCAGGGTGGCACATTACATCAATTAAATAAGTTTTGTCTGAAAAATGTGGGATAGTCACATCAACAGACAATTTTTCAGCACCACCAGCAGCAGTTACAAGGCTACTGTGAATTTTAGTGACAATATTCTGTATCCGGATATCTTGTTTAACAGGTTTATACCACTGGTCTTTTGGCAATAAAGGGCCTGAGTAATCTTTGCACTCTAAAGACAAAGCAGTATCTATCAAATGTAGACTTTTTAAAGCCTCAGACTTATTTACCTTTGATAAATACTCTGAGCTAAAAATCTTACTTACTAATTTCAATGGATATTTTCCTAAATAAATATAGGACAAAATGATTGAGCACAGATCCTCTATATTTATCTTATAAAAATTATAATTTACTACATTTTCAGCTGTTTTCCAAAACTGCAAACTATTTTTTGGGTCAAAACTAAGGTATCCAAATGGATAAATGTACAACTTTAGAAAACTTGGAGGGATAATTCTTGCATTTCTTACAAAAAACTCACTACAAGAATTCAAAATCTGAGCATTACGTATTTGAAATTGCATGCAATAATTTAAAATACCTACAATCAATACATGTGATTCTATTTTATTTATCTTTAATTTAACATACTTTTCAACTGCATTTTCTATCTGGTCATCAGTATATTTGAGTCTTGTTAGTTTGGACACCACATCCAAGAATGAGTCTTCATCCAGAGCATGTATGTTAGTGTGTACCCATCTGCTAACCAAAGCAAATGACTGCATAGACAAATATTTTTCTTCAACAAAGCTGTTAAGGATTTCTTGCATCACTGGCACCTTTATTTTCTGCCATAGATCTGTCAATTTTTGTTCCAGTAAAGACAAAACAATCCTTTTGCTTACTTTTAATCCAGGCAATATGCTAAACATCAGAGCTATATTTGATTCATCTATATCACTCTCTTTCTGTACAAAACCAACCCACAATTTGTCAATAGTTTCAATATACTTTGGATTTGCTTTATTTTCTGCAAGGAATTCAATAAATGTGCAAAGTTGCTCTATAGACAACTTGTTATCAATCGCTCTGAACAATAATTCATCACAAAATTGGTTTTTGTAAGGCTCCATGAATGTAGAAATTGACTTCAATATATTTATGATAGTTTGTGTATCTTCAGTCTTCATCACAACTTTTAGTAATTTATCTAATATAGCACCCTTAGCCATGTGGATGTGGTTACCTTTCAGGTCCATTAAAGCGTGAGGCTCTTTTTCTAAATCATAAATTCTTTCCATTGCCCCCAAAGCTATGTTGGGTGTAATTTTAGTACATTTTGACAGCAAGGAAAATACATCCCTCAGGTCAACGCATTGCTTAAATTCGGCTTGAATAAGATGATAGTTAGCGGGATCGACCTTCGGTTTTGTATCCTCTGAGGACGCCCCATCATCCATTTCAGATATATTTTTCAGCTTCCTTACAACTACTGGAAGCTCTTGAACATTAAATCCATTTTCTACTAAAATTGTGCTGTTAATAAAGTCAGGATTATTGCCTTTATTGTCTCCAAAAGAACGGTTGTTGAGTAACGCAAAGAGGCATGAAGGTATTTGCATTTTCTGTTTTGGGTTGGGAATCAAATGTTCTCTTGCTTTTAAATATGACCTCCTTAAAACTAATGCCATGATGGCGTGATTATTATACACAGAAATAAATACAAAACAACGCAATTAAATTAATTATAAATTTGCAATGAATGACAACAACAATCATGACTGCAAATGTCAATGTCAATAAACATATGACTTTGACAGTTTAGTAAGTGTTTTTTTATTGTTTACGGCATTGCGTGAGTGTTAGTGTGCCTGTTATATGCCACTCCGCTATTTCTGCTACTGGTCTTTAGCACAGAATAAGCCGGATCTCCAGCGCGTGTTTTTCCCTACACAATCAACAAAAACATGTCAACATTCAAGATTTTTGTAGCCAATTCTGTTAAGCCATACTTTTTGTGATGTGTGGACCGATGGCCCTTATATGGTATATCAATATGGGCGTGGCGTCTCCAAAGTGAAACGATAGCTCACCAAGGATAAAAACTAGAGCAAATCGAAAATCATAAAAAAATCTGTAAGATTTTAGTAACATCACTAAAAAAAATTCACAACATTTGTCATTTGTCATTAGTGTCAGTCACAAATTTTGTCACGAGGTTTGCTTTTGGTCGTCTTGTGATTGCGATGTTTAAAAATAATTGTAATTGTATTAAAAAAAGTATAAAAACTTTAAAGGAAGGTGTTGTGCTATAAAATAAACTATACGAAAGCTAAAAGTAACAATCAATTGGAAACAATCATACTTAAACCTAAAGAAAATAATAGTCTAACAACAAACAATAAATTCCAGTTAAAAACTTTTGATTAATGTCCGACAATCAGATAAATAATATTATGCCAGGTGTGAATCAAGAGGTAAGCCTAAATCAACAGTCTCATAATCTCATTTGTGTCTAGTATCCTATTTTAGCTGTTTCATCTATCTTTCACTTCGTAAGTGACGGTTTTTAACCAGTCGCGGTCTTATTTAAAACTTAATTTTCTTTTTATGCTCATGCGAAAAATATACCCATATTGCCTTAAATCACTGATTTCCTAGATGCCTTTCCTGTTCAATTTGTTTCTTTATGACAAATGTTTGAAAAAAAAGGTAAAATAATTATTTCATAGAAATCAATTCAAACATTATTCAGTTTTATAATTCATCTAAAGGATATGTAATATTTTGTCCTTGTTATGGATTATTAAATATGATGGATCAAGACAAAACCCAACTAACCCATTCTTATACGGCATTCCAAACAAAAGTTTTAAAAATTTATAATTGATATACCTAAAATGGTTTATCTGTTTATTGTCCACTAAAGTTCAGTCTCAATGCCTTTCTTTGCTTTTATTAATTTTCATTTTAATAAAATATTCAACGATAAAGAATGGTCTTGAAAAATTTTAATAATATCTAATTGCCTATTGGCATAGTGGGAATCAAGCCTATGGCGTTTATCTTGCCTATTCCAATTCCAAAAAAAATATTTGGAAAATTCTGTATGTATAATGATTAAATTCTGTATTCAATGTTATTGATAAAACCCTATTTAATCTACCCAAGAAAAGAGTGTAGACTCTTGTCTTTTAAATGCATGTCATGAATATGAATGGTGTCATTATTATGATGAAACATTGTATAATAATACAATAATTGATTATTTAAATCTTAACTCCTTAATAGTATTAAGGCATTGTATCTCTATCATTTAATTTTTAGGTCTCATTTAAGGGCTCAAAAATTACAACAGTATAAATTCTTATCATATTTAACATCCAGACTAATTTCTGGGCTTTTTTCAAATATTTTTTTCTGAAATCAGGCCTCTTTTGTATTTATTTATTTTATTTGGAACTAAAACAATTTCAATTTTGTTCAATTATCAAATTTATTCAGTGGAATTTCCAATGGCTTTGATTGTAAACAAATTAATTTAGCACTCTTTTTCCATTTAAAGTGGATATTACAAAGAGGAATAGGTGTGAAAAGTATTAGTAATTAAGGCCACCAGCCAGTTAAATTAGTTTTTAAAGTACCTATTAACAACTAATTTATTTTACTTAATTATCTAATTAACATTTTAAATTAGGATTATTCAAACTTTCACACATCATTTACTACAGAAAAATATTTTTCTAACTGTTGACTGCATGCAAAAAGTGCATACTATTTATTACCTTTATATAGCAAAGCTCGTAAATAGTGTCGTAAACACCATGCGACTGTTTGTCCAACAAATTACTACCTATTAACCTCCTTGACCAGTGGAAATGTACTCTAAAACTATGAATTATGTCTGCGCCTATAAATATCTAAGTATGCCTCTGCCTGCCTTATGGCACATATGGACTGTTCAATTAGTCCATAGTCATAATGCCGCTAAGGCACTCGGCAGATCATAATTACTTACGTACACGCCGGAGAATATACTTACGCGAGGACAAATCTCAGAATACCTACATACTTCACGAAGTAATCCAAGATAACAAGACTTTAAGAACACAACATTTTTGTATACCTAGTTATCATTGAAGATAAGAAAAGTACAGATGTGTGTACATACACATTATCTACATACTTTTTTGTTTCATGCATTTCGTACGTGGCTAGGTATTTAGTACACCTAAGTAAGTTTCTGCTATCGGTGCTTAAATTACAGATCAAATTTCGTAATCGTTTGTAGTAAACTGAGCGAATTATTTTAGTTGGTGGTGTGGTCGCGAACACTTCAATTCAGGTCAGTGCTACTAACAATTATTTTAATTAGGTAGGATTAGTTTGGTTCTAGAGTTAGACGCCATGGAATTAAGTACAATTTTTCTTGTTTTTTTTTAACATTATTATGATTATGTTGTTTTACTTTTGGCTTTGCTTCTTCATAGAGATTTTACTTATTACTAAATATACTAAAGTATTAGCTACTTGTTTTCCACCTACTTATACAAATTGCTGTTTTAGTCGGCAATTTAAATTGAAGTGTACTTTAAAATCGATATTTATGAGGATTTTTAATGTTACTCACATTCTACATTGTGCAACGAACAATCGAAATTATCGTATCTGCCTGCTAAACGAACACTTTTCAGGTCAGGCATTGTAAAATTATCTTTTAAAGTCGTGCTAATACTTTAATTCAGTAAGTAATTACAAGATGTTATCGCCATGTTCAGTATAATAAAGTACTAATCATTCATAGAGCAGATGATATGTAATTAGATAAGCAGCAAACAAAATAAACAAACTAGGATAAGGTGGAAAGTAAATATTTTACGTGTCTCCTTCAAAATATAATTATGTGGTAAATGTACTTTCCAGCTCTTACAACTCTTTTTACCCGACTGCGCCAGAAGGAGGGTTATTTCACTAAGTGTTTCCTCCTTTATTTAGGTAACTATTCAGGTAAAATGTTAAGTAACCTTCTACTTACTTATTTCAAGATTGTTTGTTATTTCACTTTCTCAAGAACTTTCTTTAAAACTTATCTTTGTTATTTACTTACGTATGACGTCTCATTTGCCGTCAATAAAAATGACCCTTCGATCGATCTTAAATACACCTTCTACTTCGTTTCAGCCAAATAACGTGCACTGCTGGACAAAGGCCTCCCCCAAGGATTTCCATTACGATCGATCCAGCACTGCCCGCATCCAGGTTCTTCACGCGACTTTCACCAGATCGTACACCTTTTAGTAGCCCGAGATTAAACACTCATTCACACTAGCATCTTGTTTTTCTGACTCTTCTGTCACCATCATTACAAAAATCCATGGGCCCAACTAGTTCATCCATCACCCTCCATTTAGTCTCCACAGCAGGAGCTTGACCCCTCTCTTTATTACCAGAGACGAATGAAGAATGTGACCTATACTCGCCACGTTACGCTCTGGCCTGACGGAGTTCGACTGATTATGGCGTTGAAATAACAACTTTCTTTCCAGATGGGTACTCAACTGAAATGGGGCATAGCCGGGGTCGGCATGATAGCCCACGACTTCCTGACGGCCATGGGCACGCTGCCCGCAGGACAGCACAAGGTCGTGGCCATCGCCGGCAAAGACATCGAGCGAGTGCACCGATTGGCCACGCTCCACAAAATCAGCACGGCATACGAAGGCTACGAAGCGCTTGCACGTGACGATTCAATAGGTACTTACTCTATTGTTTTAGTATCATCCTCAATTTCCTGAGTCAATTTCATTCATTGTCACTCTATTGGCGAAAATCTCTATCATTACGACTCTATTGATCTATCTGCTTAAACAGGACTTGCATGTCGAAAGAGAAGCACTTCCTGTAGGTCTTGAAATTATTCCTTGAATCATCCATTATGTTGATACTTTATACAAATTTAAATAAATATAGCGATCTGATTAGGCACTGCATCATACTCCAATCCGATAATAATAATTCAAAACTGCAGTTATATTAATTGTATAATTTATAACGGATTGAATTCGGATTGATATGCAGTACATAATCGCCCTTACTTAAGATTTATTTGATACCCTATATTAGTTTAGCTACTGATTACTAATCCTATATCACCGCGCTGTTGTCAACTGACTTCAAAGATATAATAGGAGTTAATTATCTTATTTCCAGACATAGTATTCGTGAGTGTTTTAAACTTGCAACACTATGAAGTCACTAAGCTAATGTTAGAACATGGCAAAAACGTATTGTGCGAGAAACCAATGGGCATGACATACAATCAAATCAAGTCCCTGGTAGATTTGGCGCGCGAAAAAAAACTGTTCCTCCTTGAGGGGATGTGGTCGCGGTTCTTTCCTGCTTACGACGCTTTGGACAAACACATATCCGCTGGCGGGCTCGGGGACATCTATCACATCAGCGTACAGTTCGGGGTTGAGATTAACGAGATTGAGAGGAATCTGTAAGACTTTTATTTGCATACCAGCTTTTATTAACACAGCATCGTGTTGCGGGTCATTATCGTCCGTGCAATTAAAGCAAATTAACAATTTTTGCCTCCGTCACCTTCAAAGTCTTGCTTACAATCTTCAGTATTGATCGACATGTCACGTTTTTTGTCTAGCTCAATCTATAAAATTAAGCGGGTCTCAACTCTTACAAGATCATCCTCAAAATTTCCATGAAATTTCAGGATGAAGGATCTAGGTGGAGGAGCAGTGTTAGATCTGGGGATATACATGTTGCAACTGGTTCAGTTTGTGTACAAGGAGCCTCCGGCAGACATAGTGTGCACGGGGCACCTTAGCAAGGCAGGAGTGGACGAGTCCATATCTTGCGCGCTGAAGTACAAGGACGGCCGCACCGCAACCATCGCAGCTCACACACGTGCCACGATGACGAACAGGGCAGAAATCATCGGGACCAAAGGCACAGTAGCTGTAAGTCTAACAAAGTACAAAACTACTTCAACCTCTCTTGACAAAGAAACATTCGACAAAGATATTTTCGAAATAGTCCCCTAGACAAAGTTACTTGACTGAAGTAACCGATTTACTTTCAGCTGGAATATTTCTGGTGTCCCACGGCACTGCACTTATCGGCAGCCAACAGCACGGAGTGGACGCTCCCTAAGGGCCTGTACAAATTCCACTTCCACAACAGTGCTGGCCTGAGCTACCAAATACAAGAGTGCTGGGACTGCATCAATAAAGGTATATTTTTTGTCCTAATCTCTTGTACCGTCGACAGCACATCAGACTTCACAGTTTTGTTGCACAATCAATCTTATTAAAAGTACATAAGATGCCACAGTGTCTACGCCATCTTAGCCAGTTTTTTATTTATTTATTTATTTAAAGACTTTATTGCACACACAACAATGTTCTGTACAAAAAGGCGAGCTTAATGCCATACGTCATTCTCTACCAGCTGACCTTTTAATGGTAACTCGACTTGCGTGGTATATGCCAATACAGATTTACATGAAGGTTCATTATTATGTGCGACCATGACTTTTCATAGTTGCATTGCCAAGTCGATGCCGGCGAGGTAATTATTAAATGCATGATCGACGTTTCATCTCAGTTCGCGTCACATCCTGGCTTAATTCGGGCCCTGGCGACTGTCGAACTGTTTGGGTTGGCACTTAAATTTCTTATTGCAAAGTTCTTTGAACTTTATTATGGATGGACATGATGAGAGATTCTGTGATTGTAAGAATTAATTAGGTAATATTATAATGACCCTAGAAAGTCGTTTCAAGTAGGAGTGATGTTGGAAAAATCCAAAAATGTGATGTTCAAATTGTGACATCTCAGGGAGATTTCACTGTAACGAAGAAATTATTGTTTCTTTAATAAGATTTCCAAATAAAGTTTTGAAGCAGCTGTCAATTTTAACAGAGTTCTTTAAAATATTCTTACGTAATAATTGCACACGATTGCATGTCTTCGATGATCATTAAAACATTTTAATGCTAGATTGTCTTATTATACCTATTTCACTTTCACGAAACACGATTGCATATTTATAGCAGTGAAGTGCCTAACCGACTTTACATTTATATTCTTGTAAAAATTAAAAGAATGTGTTAAATATAAAGAGCACGAGACGTAGGTATAGGTTAGCTACCCTGTACCTGTAATAGTTAAACTTATTGGGGATTTTTATTGTCCTTAGTTTTATTTTAATTATCAGACCTTACGAAGCAAGTGAAATTTTTCACTGAAATCAGCTCAAAAAAATTGAACAAGTACTTAAAAAGTAAGCTTTAAAAAAATAAAGTCATAAGTCACGTACTTATATTTTTTTAATGTAAGAAAATTTTTGCAGGTTTACTAGAAAGCCCTAAGATGAGCCTGGAAGAGTCGGTCCTGATGGCCAAGCTGACGGACACGATGCGAGCACAGCTAGGCGTCCTCGAGGATTGACTTCATTAGTTAACTCAATTCATAGCTTTAATACACCGTGCAAACTTACTTTAAGTACTTAATTCCTATCAACTAGCTTTATCGTAAGCTAAGAATCGCTTTAAACTTATCGTAACACCAAGTGCCAGTAAAACCACGAACAAATTTGTGATATTGTTGCCTTTATTCTAGTACACACGTTTCGCGGTATACCTATATTTAAAAAGTACAGTATTTTACCTCGACTAACTGTGATTATGAGGGTGTTGTGAGACGCTTGTTTAAAATAATATTGCATATTATTATAATAATAAATTTATTGTAAAATATATCGATCATTTCATTGCACGATTCTTCTACAGAACAATAACATGACAGATCAATATTTTTAATATATTATTTTTCGAAAACTTATAAATAATAAAATACTCTTGTAAAGCTCTGCCCAAAAATCTCAGTCTGCGCTTATTTTAAAGTAGATTACGTTAAACATTAATCATTTCACATAAAATAGGAGTCCTTGTTTAAGCAACATTCGCTGTGACCGCTTCTCGGTCGTGTAAAGGAGATGAGACCTGAGGCAGATGAGAGTTTATTTGTCGAAGCTTTCGAAGACCTTTCTGATGATGTTGGCTCCGTCGCGGACCTGCTCCTCGGTGATGACGAGCGGCGGCGCCAGGCGGATGACCTGCCCGTGGGTGGTCTTTGTCAGCAGACCGGCGTCCCGTAGTCTGACGATCACGTCGTACGCTGGAATGCCTGAAATAGAAAGAAATATGAAAACGGGAAAACCTGTCGTGATAAAGACATTGTAGGTACAAGTGCGGGCACCAAAAGAACATTGCTTCAATAAAATGTGGTAAGTAATGCATTATTTATTAGTGAGAACTGGTGATAAAACCATCCAAGAGGTAAAAGATAAGGTAGAATTGAATATTTTCTTTTTGTTGGTATGTTTTTCGTACTATTTGAAAAACGTGACTTTGTATTTTAACCTATCATTGTTGTATTACTCTAGCACAATTGTCTCATTCAACTAATTTATTCCGTTCGTATTGTTTGCATTCATCCTGTTTGTAAACATCAATAATTTTTATGACATCATTATATTCTTCTAGCGTTTGTTTGTTGTAGTATGTGGTCGGATAGAATAAAAGTTTGTAATAACTTTAAAAAAAAACCGACTTCAAATGCGTGAACACAAATAATACCTATTCAACAAAAAAATAATCGTTCAAATTGGTTCATAATCGGCGGAGATATTGCGTATAAAAAAGTTCATCCCCAATTTTCCATTCCACCCTTGGGGGTGAAATATTTTCTTCAAATTCGCATGAAACCACCCTTTTAATAATACCTATTCAACAAAAAAACAATCGTTCAAATTGGTTTATAATCGGCGGAGATATTGCGTATAAAAAAGTTCATCCCCAATTTTGCAACCTTGGGGGTTGTTTTTTTATTATTAAATTTAAATGGAACCACCCATGAGGTATTACCTATACGCCGAAAAAAGATTTGTTCAAATCGGTTCATAATTGGCGGAGTTATCGCGTAACAAACATAGAAAAAAAAAACATACGGGTCGAATTGAGAACCTCCTCCTTTTTTTGAAGTAGGTTGAAAACAAGAGTCGATGACCAAAAAGGCGTTTAAAGAATTTTCCTGCTCTGAACAACTGCCTGTTATACCTAACCGTAATTTACGTTTTATATCGGAAAATGCACAAAAAACACACATTAGGCACGGGGGCAGCCACCGGATGATCGGACTATGACCCGCCACAAATTACCTAGGCGGATGGGTCATTCGTTTCGTCAGCAAGTAGGCAGGTTAGGAACGATATTAGTTATTTACTCTTCATTATCACCATGTGACACGCCTTATCTATTGCGTCAGAATCGTAAATTTTTGCCTTACATTTACATAAACTCCAAGTTTTCCATTTTGTTCGTCAACATAGATAAAGCAATTTTATTTTTAGCTTTCAATGACAAATGGTTGAATAAAACGATTTATTAAAGTCTTGCAAACAAGACAAAAATAGCTGTTTTTAACACAACACAACAATATATGACGCAAAAGGCGGACAAAAACATTCATCGCCAAGATTACATGAGTTACCCCTATCGATTATATCTAATGCGTAATAAAGGCCATTCTATGAACTTTAAAATGATCGATAAGGCGTGTCCTTCGCTTGATCGGTTTCTAAATAAAATTTATCTTACCGGGCGGTAAAATTTGCCAGGATGTTATTAGTAAAATAGGACTGTCTATTGAATTCTATCTATACTTACTGTCGTGCACCACCATCGCGCACATTAGTCCGCGCCCCCTGACGAGGGTGACTTTGTCTTTGGGGATCTTTCTCAGTTCTTCAAGTAGCACTTTTCCCAACTTTTCTGCTCTCTCGGGCAGTTTTTCATCTAATAATACCTATTAAACAAAACAATAATTTAGATCCAATCAACCAAACGGTCATTTGTATAAAATAAGTTTCTTACAAAACATTAGATACCTTCATTGCTTCCATGGCGACCGCACAAGCCAAGGGATTGCCGCCATACGTTGACCCATGGGTTCCAGGTTTGATGACCTGTAAAGAGAGACATTTAGTTTAATGGATATTAGTAATTTGTATTGCACAAATGACTAATTAGTCCCGTTAGCCTCTCGTACAAAACTATGCTCGTGTCATAAGTGGGCTTACCACATGGAATACGAACCCGCGTTTCTCGGAAAACGAGTCGGCCAGTCCGACCCCTTCACTGTTCGGGTATCGTGGCTTCAACATAATTATCATTATCATATTATGCCTTAATCTACTTAGTCCACTTCTGAGCCTAAAGTCTCTTTTCAGTCATAGGCAAATACCTACTAGCATAAGGTAGCCCTGCAGTCCAGAATTGGGCACTCCTCACAGAGTGACAGATCCATAGCTACTCAAGTCTCAATAAACCAGTAAGATTATGCAGTTTTAATAATTAACAGCCTGGCTGGCTCCGAACGTGTACTTATCTTCGTATCAACAGCCTCTCGAATAAAGATGAGTTTTGTCGTGTCATTAAATGTAGCTTAATGCTTAGTTTAAGATCTGCGCGAACTTACATTCATGACTTCGTGGCTCGCCAGCACTGCGGAGACCGGCAAAACGCCGCCGCTCAGAGCCTTGCCCAGAATAAGAATGTCGGGCTTCACGTCCTCGTGCTGAACAGCCAGCAACTTGCCTGTGCGACCTTAATCGAAAAAAAAATGTAAGTGACCTCATTTACGCAGAAATAGTTACATCGACATCTAAATACAACATCCAAAATTATCACTATGTATCAAAGTGTTTAGCCCAGAACAGACGGTGAATCGCAACTGCAACGAAACTGCAACTTTCTGATGATTCTGATGAATGAAACTGAAAGTTTCACACTGGTCGCGTCATGTGTGGTATCTCAACGGACGCTATGGTAGAAACTTAAATGCAACTCAAAAGTAACTAGCAGTTGCAGTTTCGTTGCAGTTGCGTTTCACCATCTTTTCTGGGCCTTAGTGTTCTTCAGGAAACCATATTTAATAATAAAAATTGCGTCGTTTCAGAATAGCAGATCAATGATCATTCATAATAATATGTCCTAATTTAGGTTTATCTTTAAGCTTAGGTAAAGTGACCGACGGAATCAGTCCCTAGTCTCACCTAATCCAGTTTGTACTTCGTCAGCAATCCACAGCACATTGTACTTGGTGCAGAGTTCGCGAACCTTCTTCAGGTAGCCATCGTCCGGGATCACGGTGCCGGCTTCTCCCTGGATGGGCTCCACCATGAACGCGGCCACTGTCGGGTCTTGTAATTCTTTCTGAAAAGTACCAAAAAAGTTAATCTAGCTCATTATCTCACGAAATCAGTCCAAAGGATAAACGACGGTCGGCTTTCAGAATCGGCCCATTTTTCTGTTCCGATTGTCGTTATTTTCACAATTTCATTAGTTTCGCCACGATTACGCATGCGAATTAAACTTTGACCATTATCTACTTAGTTTACATCATCGTCATTTATTCCATAATACTACTAAGAGCGCGATTATTGTTATAGATTTATTTTTCTTTAAAGCCACTAACGTAACTTTTCTATTTCTGGCGCTTCCTGTTCTCAACCTGAGGCTTGAGTTTCTTCAAATTAAAACGCTATGTAGTAAATGAAAAAGTTTACCTCTAAAGCTTCAACGTCGTTGTAAGGGATGAGCTTAAAGCCAGGCATGTAGGGGCCGAAGCCCTGGTAGCAGGTCGGGTCCGATGAGGCCGACACCGCCGACATGGTGCGACCCCAGAAGTTGCCTTCGGCGAATATAATCTGTAAAGTTGGACAAAACCCTGTAAATACTGAGTTCACTGGACATAGAATGTAACACAATTCGTAGTTCTAGAAATACATTATAAGCAAATAAAAGAAACAGGACTACGAACTTTGAAGGTACTGTTGACATTCTAATTATTGTTACATACTTGTCAAAGAAATATAGGTACAATTAAAATGTGGTTAGATCTAGTTTCACTGTTCATATAAGATCTTCTTGACCTCGTAGTCATACGTTAGTATAAATAAGTAACTGGATAAATCCAGTAAATCCTGATAGAAACAATAAGTAATTGTATTCCAAGATAGGTAGTTAAGTAGTACGTCCTTTATTTATTTGCCTACATTCACTACACAAGTGCACATTCCTAATCGCAATGGCTTTTAATACTTATGTAGGTACTTTGATATCATTCTGGTATCTTGTTTATTTAGAAGTCTACGCACACACTACATCTAATAAAAACAAATATCTGAAATAATCCAATAGGTTTTTAAAATGGAATAAATAAAGCTTGCATTTTTAAGATAGCATGATGACGTATTGAATACTGTAAAGGTTCGGCCAAACCAATGCGATCAGCCTGCGTGCGCCATGGCGAAGGCGATGACGATCAACGCGTTTAAGTCTAATTGCCGGCTGCACGCGTTAGTTTAAGGCCCGGATTCCACCAAAACGGAAACAAGAAGAGATGTAGGTATTTTGAATAACTAATCAAACCTCTAACGAACCTTTTTTTTTTTCGTCAGGAAAATACATTGATTTGTATACTTTGTTCTAAAAACTTAATGTATTAACATAATCAGATGAAAGAGACTGGATCCCACAACACAGGGAATCCTAGTGTGGGAACTAGTGCCTTACTTT